GGCTGTGACCCTTGCTTATGTCCCCATTTTTCTCCTCCAGCTGGGGGTCGGGGGACAATCCTGCTCTGTCCAGCACAGGTCACAGTGAGGCTCGGGGTCCCCGGAGAATTACAGGGGCTGCTGTCCTATGGAGCAGGAGAGGCTGGAGGGCTGGGCCAGTGGCAGCAGAAGCCACATTAACAATTAAGGCCCTGGGACTCCGTTCCATCCTCACTGCATGAAATATTCAGGCACAGGGTGGGGGCGTGGGGAGGGACTGGTCTCACATCTCCACTGCGGGCAGGTGCGGCCAGCGGGCAGTGCTTCTGGGTGTAGCCACAAGGCCTGGTCCAGAGACTCGTGACGCTGGGGGCTCCCTGCAGACAGGACTGGAGGTGTGAAACTATCTCGTGCCCCTGTGACTGTCCTGTGAGAGCACAACAGGTTACGCTGTATTCGTGCCAGGGTGAAAGCAGCAATTTGAAGAACACAGACTGTGCCAGCGAGGAAAGCCACTTGTTCTCCTTCTCTGTCCCTCAACTCACTGAGTCCCTTCCGTATGCAGCTGGACCTTGACTTCCCTGCTTTGGGTTTTTTGTTTTGTTTTGTTCTTGCAGACAGGGTCTCAAGATATAGTTCAGACCGGCCTTGAAGTCACCATGTAGCCCTGGCTGGTCTCAAATGTTTGATCCTCCTGCCTCAGCCTCCCAAGTACTGGGGTCATAGGTGTGTGCTTCTACACCCAATTCATTTATTTGTTTATTTTTTGGTTTTTAAAGCCAAAGAAATTGGTGCTGCTTCCATGCAGAGGGTAGAGAGGCCAGAGATGCTGTAAGTACCCTACACTGCACAGGACAGCCCGTCCCTCCAAAGGACTCACGACACCCATAATGCCCCACATTGAGGTTGAAAAGTTTGTTCTCAGCTACTGGGAGAACGGATCAAGCCACGTGTGCCAGCACGCTGCAAGCACAGCGTGCTGGGAGCCAGCACACCAAGCTGTCTAAATACACTCCAAGAGCACACACAGAAGAGGGAGGAGACCCAGGAGCCATCAGCACACCCCTAGTGGCCCTGGGTCCGAGAGGGCTGGGGCAGGAGCCAGGCCTGGTCACAGGGTCACAAGGGAGCCCGAATCACTGGCTGCTGTGCTGCTGTTCTTGCATCACATGAAGGGAGACAGTGTGTCCTGCAAAGAGCCCTCGTGCCTCAGTTTCCCTGGCTGTCTCCTGGGGTGATGGCCGTGGGGTGTGGAGCTGGGAGAGGTGCAGAGACAGCACCCCCCAGTCAGTCACTTTATGGCCATCCCCACTCTGCTCTGGGCTCTGGCCCGCCTGCCCCCCCAGACAGCCTCCTTCTCATTTGGCCAGTCCTCTCCTTGGCTCTCAGCCCCGCTGCGGCTCCCCCGGCCTGGTTAACCTGAGGTGTGTGGCCAGCCAGGGAGGGAAGCCCCTTGGGCTCTCACTTCACCACCTGTGTGCCAAACCAGCCATTCTGGCGCAACCCGTGCATTGCCGGTCTCCACCTCTCCCCTGACCTCCAGCTGTGGCCCTGCAGGGGCCACCACTCAGGCTCACTGCTGGGCCCAGCTCCAACGAAGCGGCCCTGCCTGCAAATGCAGGAGCTGCTGCATGGAGGTACCCTCTCCAAAGGAAGGCACAGCCCAGAGGCACACCTGACATGCTTGGGGGTGTAGCCTGGCAGGAGTGAACCCTAGGTTTCCTAGATGGCCCTTGTTTCACTGGACCTCCGTGTTGGCCTCTGGAAAATGGGTGCAAACACCCTATTACATGTTCTGGTGCAGAGGATGGGGGAGGTTAGGGGAGAGGAGGCGTAAAGAGACCAACTGTGTCAAGGGCTGGGGACATCAGAAGCAAGCAATCAACACAGTGCTTTGTTTATTTATTTTTTCGCAGCTCTCCTCTGACCCCCAAGAGTCTGTGGACTCTGTCTCCGATCCTAGAAGGGCTGATGGTTCCCCCAAAGTGGCGGCCCTGCAGGGAGGAGCGTTTAGAAGCCTGAGAACTTCCTGGTGCTGGGATGTGCTTGGGCGTCGTCATGGTTGCTGTGGTTACCTCTCAAGGGTCCTGGGGAAAGAACCGCACGGCCAAACTCACAAAGCATCCTCCATCCAGCCCTGTGGTCTGACCCTGCCTGACCCCACACCCAAGCATCTGCCTGGGTCTCTACAAGACTTCACCTTGCTCGCTGGGCCTTCGCTTAGGGTGTCTGCCTCCTCCTCCCCCTGTCCCATTCCCATTCGGCATTCAGGATGTGTCTCCTCCAGGCCACCATCCACAGGGACTGGGGAGGTTCCCATCATGATGTGTTGTACGCTCACTAACTGTGAGGTGCTGCCTATTACCGTATTAGGCCATGCGTTTGGCAGACCGATAAGGGCAAGTGACCATGGGCAAGGCCTTTGTCTCTGGGGCTCAGTTTCCTCATCTTCGAAACGAGGGCCTGGGACTCAGTTGTGCATTGAGGGGACAAGCATTCACTGGGCCAACAGCAACTGGGGCTGACTCAGGGTTCTGAGCTCAGAGCTGGCCAGAGAGGGTGAGTGCACTTGGGGCCCTCGTGGTGGCAGGACTGTCACCTTGTGTGACTACCTCTCTGCTCTGAACACCACACATTTTGTCTGCTGTGGCTGTATACCGGTTTTGAACCCCAGCAGCCTCGTGAAACATTCGTGTGGCCCTAAGCAGACCCCCATCCTGGGAGATCCAGGGTGTGGGGGGCATTGGCCTCTAGTTTTTAAGACTCACTGCTACTGTCCTGAGCATGGTGAGAATTACTGCGCCAGAGCTCCGTAATTTGGCTTTGTCATTTCCATGCCAAAGCACAGTTCCTCAAGACCAAGGGGCCAAAAACACTGTCACGTGACAGTGGGACCCAGGCTGCGCTGGACCCAGAGGGTTCTGGCGAATGTAGCACCTCCGGGTCAAGTCGAGGTCCAGGACTCCCTAGGCGGGCTAGGATGTCCCTTTTGCTTCAGGATTCAGGGTCAGCCCTGGGCCTCTCATCTTCTGCCCCACGATGTCCAGCTGTGGGGGGCAGGAGACCCTCAGCCCCTGGTAACCCTACTTCATCTTGGCTGCACCCAGAGAATGTTAGCAAGGCCCATGGGTGTTGCCTGAGGGTCTTCTAGTCTGCAGTCTGTATATGGTGCAAATAGACCCTGTCTAGTGAAGCTGTCATTCTGGTGGAGGGACACAGGCAGGCCACCACCTGGACTGAGGCTGATGGGGAGAGGGATGCCCAGCCGGCCTGGGTGTGCCTGGCGTCTCCCAGGAGTCTCCCTGGGCATTCATCTGCCTTCTCCATGCTCTCCTGACTGCCTTCCTGGGTGAGCAAGGAGGTACTGAACCTGCACCTCTTTGTGTGGCTCCAGCCCTAACCCACAGCCATGCTGCTCCTGCCTAACCCAGGGCTTTTCCCAGTTGCCCAGGATCACTGGCGCTGCCTATGCCCTCATCTTGCCCTCTCCCCAGTCCACACAGGGCCCCTGGCTTTCCTCACACCAGCCAAGCCAGGGCCTCTGCAGTTGCCTCCCCCGGGGAATGCCCTTCCCCAGTACCTCTGTTCTCCTCACATCGCTGGTCCCTGCCCTCCCTAACCACTGATACCGAAGGCAGCTGACGATCATTTTTAGTGACAGCGGCCTGCCTCAATTCCCGGCACAGCACTTAGGCTAGCTGCCCTGTTATCTGGTCTGTTTATTATCTTTTCCTCCTCCTCCTCCTCCTTCCAGAATGCTAAGTACTCCCCAGAGGCCTGTGGCCTCCTGCCGGGTCGTGTCCCCGTGGAATCCCCTGAGCTGGGGAGCCGGTGGGGCTGGAACAGGCCTGGGAGAGCAGGTGCCCGGGCACACACGGTTGTCCCGGGCAGGGTCGTGCAGTTGTCATCGAGGACATCAGCTGCTGCGCGGGGGCGCGCTTGGGGCCGCGGGCAGCTCATGGGGGCGCGTGCGGGGGGTTCTCATTTCCTTGCCGGTGTAGGGGACCAGCTCCTAGGCCAGCTCGCAGCACGAGCGCGGTAAATGCGCTTTGAGGACTCCAGGATAATGAGACTTACTGCCCGTGGGGAGACCCTGGGCCCAGCACTGCTGCCGGGGCGGGGGTGGTGGCCCCTGGCGGTCGGCTGGGCGCCCCGGACCTCAGGGGTTTGCGCCAGGCGTGTGTCAGATTCTCCTCCGATCCAGGGCATGTGGCGGTGCAGCTGGGACCTGCACCAGCTCCAGGCGAGGGGCTGGTCCTCAGCGCCCGAGACCCAGGGAGGTCGGGAAGGTCCAGGTTGGACTCTGGCCGGCTGGCGAGGCCCTGGGCTCCCGCGCAGACGCCGGATTTGTAGTCCCGGACCAGCAGGGAAAGCGCAGAGTGGCCGCGCATCCGGGCGGGGAAGCCGGGCGCAGAGAGGGGCGGAGGGGCCGGGGGCAGGAGAGGGACAAAGAGCGCCCTGCCCGACCCCGCGTCCGAGTCCTATTGTTCGTCGCAGTTCCGAAAGCGCCGAACTCTGGCGTCCCCAGGAGGGAGCCGGGAGCTGTCGCGCGGACCCTGGGTGGTTGTTTATTAGGACAAGAAGTGGGGGGAGGAACACGGGCCGGGAGGGGGCTCCTGCCTAGGCCAACGTTGCCTTTAAGGGGAGCCCGGCCCTACCTTTCCACCCCCGCCCCCCGCAGCCCTACCTGCTTTTTAAACGCGCCCTGGAGCCCTGGGATTGGCCGAGGCCGAGTCCTCCGGGCGCAGAAACTCGAACCGCCGGGAGGGGGTTGGGGCCCAGCGCGCGGACCGAACCATCGTGCGGCGCCCCCGAGCGGCCCCGCCCCCCCGCACACCCCCGGAGCCGACCAATCGCGCGTTCGAGGGGGCGGGACCGTGGCGGGAACGCACCACTGGCCGGGCGCCGAGAGGGCGGGCGGGCGCATCGCGCGGGGGAGCCCCGGCGCCTCCGCCTCCGCTCGCCCCCCGCGCGCCCTCCCACCAGGGGCGGGGCCGATGGCGCTCCCCGCCCCTCTCCTCCCTGGGTGGGCGGGGCAGCCAGGGCTCCCGGAGCGGGGCCGGGGGCGGCCTGCGCCTGCCTCGCCCGATCGCGGAGGGAGCCCCGGGCGCACGGCGGCCGCACGCGCCAGCCCAGCCGCGGAGCCCCGGCGGGGAGCGCGAGGGCGATGCGGCGGTGACGGCCGCGCTATGGCGAAGCCCCCGGCCACGGCTGTGGCGGCGGCGGCGGCGGCGGAGGAGCTGAGCCAGGTGCCGGACGAGGAGCTGCTGCGCTGGAGCAAGGAGGAGCTGGCGCGGCGGCTGCGGCGCGCCGAGGGCGAGAAGGTGGGCCTCATGCTGGAGCACGGCGGCCTGATGCGCGACGTGAACCGGCGGCTGCAGCAGCACCTCCTGGAGATCCGCGGCCTCAAGGACGTGAACCAGCGGCTGCAGGACGACAACCAGGAACTGCGCGAGCTCTGCTGCTTCCTCGACGACGACCGGCAGAAGGGGCGCAAGCTGGCTCGCGAGTGGCAGCGCTTCGGGCGCCACGCGGCCGGCGCGGTGTGGCACGAGGTGGCCCGCTCGCAGCAGAAGCTGCGGGAGCTCGAGGCGCGCCAGGAGGCCCTGCTGCGCGAGAACCTGGAGCTGAAGGAGCTGGTGCTGCTATTAGACGAGGAGCGCGCGGCGCTGGCGGCGCCGGGGGGCGCGAGCGGCGCGGGCGGCGGCGGGGGCGCGGGCTCCCGCAGCTCCATCGACAGCCAGGCCAGTCTGAGCGGGCCGCTGGCGGCGGCGGGGGGTTCGGGGGCCCGCGACGTGGGTGACGGCAGCAGCACGTCGAGCGCGGGCAGCGGAGGCAGCCCGGACCACCACCACCACGTGCCCCCCGCGCTGCTGCCCACCGGGCCACACAAAGCCCCCGAAGGCAAGGCGGGGGCCACCCGCCGGTCCCTGGATGACCTGTCGGCCCCGCCGCATCACCGCAGCATCCCCAACGGCCTACACGGTAAGGACCCCCTCCCTCTTCTCCCGCTGGGGTTCAGTGGGGGGATCCCGCGTCCACCCGCCCGGGCGCTGGGTCGTGGTTAGGGGTGGCGCGTGCCCCTGTCCTGCGGAGAATCTGCAGCGGGGCGCAGCTCCAGAAAAGTTTGTCGCGGTGAAGTTGTAGGTGTTGGCGGCCGGCCCTGCGGGGCTGGCTGGGGGCTCCTCACCCCTGCCAGGAATCCTTAACCCTGCAGTGGGAAGTTCTGTGGGAGGGGAAAAAAATCCTTGGGGAGTTAACTGAATTTCCCCTCCTTTGGAGCAACAGGCGCTCCCCGCCCTACCCCGAGCCCAAGTGGCGTCCACGTGTGTGCGGTGAGTGGAATTCCGCCTGGCTTCCTCCTTGGCTTATCACTGCGGGCAGGAGCGCGGCGAGCTGGGCCAGAGGACCCGGGCCAAGTGGCTTCCTGGTTTCCTATGCGTTCTGCACATCGGGTTCGGGACATTTTTCAACAGAGGGGCTAAGGTTTCCCCAAGGGATAATGGAGGGCTTGGAATGGAATCTGATTTTTGTCCTCTTCTGTGCCTCAGTTTCTGCATGTGTGCACTGGCGTCAGGGCGTCAGGGGTTTGATGTGGAGATAACATTGTGAAGGGGTTTGTAAATTGCTGATGGCAGAACATCTGTGGCTAGTGTGTGCATGGTGAGTGGGAGGACTTTTGGCTTCAGGAAGGCTCTGCATTGTCTTCCACACCCACCTGGGTGTCTGCTGACCTAGTGCAGGAAGAGGGTGACACCAGCTGAGATCTGCGGGAGCCCAGCAGCCTGTCTGTCCCCTCCCCTCTGTCCTTTGGTCACCCGGCTGCTCCTTCTCTCTACCTTATGGCAGACTTGGTTCTCTCAGTTCTGCTTGCCACTTCCTGGACTGCCTGTGTACCTGTCTGGTTCTGCCCAGAAGAGTTTCCGATTCAGAGGCAACATACCTGGGCCTTAAGTAATTGCTCTTCTCCGGTGACAGCCCCACCCCTGGAGGGCTGCTGTCTTTGCCTTGTTGGCTGAGTGACCTCAGTAGGTGTATTGGGGTGAAGGCAGGGGTGGGCTCTAGACCCACAGAGGTAGGGGGCAGTGCTGCAAATTTGTCCCTTATTTATCCTCCTTGGTCTGTGTGAGTTCAGGGCAGGACTAGGTTTGGAGGGATATTTTGTTACTGATTAGCCATCTATGGCTACAACTCAGGTTTCTTTTTGCAACTCTGCCTCTACCCTGCTTCCCACCACAGGCTCCTTCAGGTTGGCACCAGGAGCTCCAAGCCAGGTGGATTAATTTGTTGGGGGGGTGCATCCTGGCTGTCTACAGCACCCCGCTTTTCTGGGGGCTTGGGAGGATCCGTTTTTCTGAGCCTCAGTTTCCCCAAGTACAATACTGTAGAGAGGGTTGCCGCAGTCCTATGGCTAGGAGATGGTTTTCAGCTGCGTCACCAGTGTTACTTGGCGAGAGTGGCTCTCTGCAGGACGCTGAGAGTGCCCAAGTGTCCGAGCCTGTTTGCAGTTTGTCTTGGGTTGTGCAAGATGCCAGGGCTGGGGCTGGCTCCGAGTTTCGGTTGTGGCAGTGAATAATGCAGGAGCAGACTGGGCAAGGGCTGGGCTTTTCCACCTGCTGGGCGGTGGGTAGGGTGCAGAGGTGTTGGGTTTTCTGCAGAATCCTGCAAGTCTCAAGTGCACTTAGACAGCTGGCGGATTTTGTAGCAGTGAAGCTTTTGGGCTGGGGGAAGGTTGTGAAAAGCCAGAGTTACCATTCCAGATTTCAGTTCCTCATGGGATCCTTCTGTTTTGTTTTGTCTCTTTCAAGTCACAGGTGGCCTTGAGATGTTTTTCCACCAACATGAGCAGAATGCCTGGACACAGAACAGGGGCTTTCTCTTAGACACTGGGCTTTTCAGTATTGGGACCTGTGGCTTCCCATTAGTGCAGTGTGGCCAGTGCCTCAGTACTGCCCTTCAGTTTGTCCTCATGGGAACATTGGGAGGTAGTGTTGCCCCCACTTCACAAACAGGCAAGTAGAGGGTTTCCAGCCTTGCTGGGGAAGGCGACCAACGTCCACAGTGCCTGTCCTGGGAAGGATCTCCCTCAAGGCTGTCTATGCATGGGCCATGGGCTTGCATACCTGGCCTGTCAGAATTTTCCCTTTACTGTTAATCAGGAGGCAGAGGTGATTTTCTGTTCTGGATCCCAACTCAGGTTTGCTCTCTCCTTCTCGTGCTGGGAAGTGTCAGCTTCTTATCAGTGACCGAGAGTGCACAGATGGTTGATAACCCTGTTACCCAGAGAGACCCAGAGAGTCAGAAGGCTGCCTTGAGTTTGGATCTTGGTGCCTTCGTGGATCGTGGGCCAGTGGGTTAATTTTGCGGAATTGAAGTGTATCCACTTCGGTAAGGTGAGGTGGAACTCGAGAGACCCTCTGCCCACACTCGGGCTTTGAGGTCGGCGTCCACCTGCACAGAGTGGGCCTCTGAGGTTGCAGCATGCTCCCGGCTTAACAAATGCCCTTCCGCCTCCCTTCACAGCCCTTAGTGCTGTTGGACAGCTCGCCTGGAAGTGTGCATCCCAGAGCTCTGCGTGTGGTGGCTGCACCTGCTGCAGAGCAGGGCTCGGTGGCCCCGCAGTCCTTTCCAGGGCTTGACCCTCCGTGGCCGGGGTGGGAGGCGCCATCTGTATTCTAGGCAGTCCTCAGCCAGGCGGCCTGTGAATGCGTATGCAAATCGGGCTCTCTCGATGTGGCTGTGGGGCTGGAAGTCTGGTGGGGGTTCTCTGCTGTGATCTAGCTGCTCAGGGAGACAGCACAGACATCACAAATGCAGGTTTCCCCTGGAACTGATGTGATTTTCAAACAAAAGAACTTTCAGCTTCTTTTCTGCCAGCCCCTCCCCCACCCCGTGAGCCCCGCCGCACCCCCCTGGCTCCCTGGATGTGTCCCCCCCCCCTGCTCTCCTGTGGCTCACAGGGTAGAAACCATAACCTTCCCAAACCTCTTTGAAAACCTGTGAATAGACACCATTGACTTTAGAAGTTTGGGTTCAAATTTTGTGCTTCTCAAAATAAGCTGCGTTTGTTCTCCTGCTTGTGTTTTCCTTGGTTTAAAAGGGAGGGGCTGAGGGGAGAGGGGGCCTGAGCTTGGAGAAAAGAGGCGGAGCGTGGGAGCTTGCGGGCCGAGTCAGTCTTTTCTGAGCAGCTTCCCGCTCACCAATGAGGCCACCTTTCCTAAGCCCCACAGGCTGGAGCAAAGGTCGGAGAAGGTAATGGGGCAGGTTACGTAAGCGTTTCCTTCCGCACCTGACCAGAGGGAACCGTCTGTGGCCTTGGAGCTCTGGGTCCCTAGGGCCACATACAGAAGTGGGCGTTCCCAGGAGTTTCCCTTGGGGCACTCTCAGTGGAGAAACTGAGGCTTGGGAAGGTAGGGTACCTCACTTCCGGGACCTGCCATGAGTCTGGCATCTCCCGGGTCAGGAGTCTGAGCCCATCGTCCAGCGCCTTGGGCCCAGGGAGTTGCTGGGCCAAGACCTGTGTGGAGATGGCATGGCTTCTCTCTCCTCCTGGGAATCGGACCCCAAACCCACCCCGCTGTGCCACTGCCTCTCCTGCAGCCGCCTCCCCGGCCAGGACTGTCTGCTTCTCCCCAGGCCCTTACCCACGTGGGTTTCTGAGCTCCTGCCATACAGACTCGGGACACTGTCCCAAGACCTGCTCTCTGCACGGGGAGGCCGGCTATTGCTCAGACTGTTTGCCACCTCAGGATTTCTGCAACTGGCCTTCTGGGTAGGCAAATTCCCAAGCCGTTGGGTGGGGCTGGAGGCTCTGTTTTCTCAACTGCAGACCACCCTTGGGAGGGGAGAGAGGTGGTGTTCTGTGTTCCCGGGTGCCACGCCTCCTTCTCCGCGCTGGAACACACCCTGGGCCCTGTGCGGAAGCCTCGCAGGCCTCTGGCTCTGGCTCTAGGGTGTGGAAGCCTTGCGACTGCTCTGGGATCTTGACAGCTTGATGAGCATCTCTGCTCACTTGCCTCCTCTGTGTTCCATGAACCCGGCCTTGAGGGATGCAGTCCTAGGCTTTCTGTTGTTTCCTGGACTCCCCCAGATTTGCCTCCTTGGGTGCAGCTGGGGAACTTCTACACAGGCTTGTTCGTGGAGCCCTTGTCCAGGGCTGCCACAGAGCCAGGGTGTCCTGGTCCAGTTGAATGGAAAGGAAGATGGCATTTCCGGCAGGAGTGAGCAGAGTGGCAGGGCCTAGCTGCAAGTCTGGACCATGGCATTGAAAGCCTGGAGCAGGGGTCCCTCCTTTGGGAGCGGTGTACAGGTACCTGCTCGGAGCCTGTGTCCTCTGTGGGCTCCCACACAGCCTGGGGGACTCTGGCCATGTCAGCGGCTACGTAGGAACTGTCAGAGGTGAAGGGCAGCAGGGCTGGGTGCTCAGGGCAGCCAGGGAGTGGAATTTGACCCAAAGGTGGGAGAGGACTCATCTTATAGGTAGGGAGGGAAACTGAGGTTCTGAGTGTTTCCTGCATGGCTCTGGCTTCAGGGGTAGCAGCTGGGCAGCATCACTCTGGTGTTCCCCATGGTGTAGGCTGGGCTGGGCAGCAGGACGGGAGCTCGATGTGACAGTGACTACAGGAATGAAGCTTCACTATGGGTCCTCAGACCTGGGGGGTCAGCCCCAGCGCCGTCCTCAGCTCTTTTCTAACTCTTGGAGCTGTGCCCCCCAGTGCCAGGCTATTCCCGCTACTGAAGGGACACAGGGGAAGTCGAGGCAGGCGTGTCCTCTCTGTCTGCATCTGCTGCTTCTGTGCAGTCCCACATAGCTGTGTGATCAGTGCGGGACCAGCTGGGCTTTCGGACTGGCAGGTGAGTAAGTCCCACCTCTGGGGTGCAGAAGGACAAGCAGATCCCAGTGGCCTCCCTGAAAGCTGCTCCTCTGCCTCGGGGAAACTGGCTGCCATCATGGCCCCTGCTGCTGTCCCCAGGCTCTGGGCAGG